ATTTTATTTGGAACCCCAAATGGTGAATCCAGTAAACACAACATATGCTGTACTATACTGAATGTTTAGTTTGGCAGAGACATCTTGTATGTTAACACATGCCTTTTCTGGAAGGTCACATGATACAATGGAAATAACTCACATTTTTACAACATGTTAAGGCTTACAAAGTACTTCCTCTACTCTGCCCTGTGAACTAAGAAAGGATGCTGAATTTGAAATTATGCTCAAATTCAACTTCAAATTCCATCTATACCACTTAGTAGCTCTGCAAACTTGGGCAAATTACTTAACCTCTATTAAAGGGGAGTAGCACCCTTTTCACAGTTAGTGTCCTACAGAAGCCAGTCGAGTTGACAAATTCTGTGAGTCAGCAGCTTCCAAAATTATAACTCACAAGCCCCAACTTGTGGATTTGCTTATACTAGTCTGTCAGAAAACATAATTGTTCAAACAAAAGACATTTAATGGAACAATATGGTTAAAGTGACAAGAAAAGATTCCTCCTGCTTAGACATGGGACACATTCTCTACAGGTTATTGTACCACCACAAAGAGGACACATACTCAGAAAGCAAACATGACCAGGGACTACACACGGAGAGTACACGTGTAAGAAACAGTTGTGGCCAGGAAATACATGAAGAGGCACATGCCAGGATGGTATCTGACTAAAGACCATGTGTGGAGAGCACATATGTATGAGACATTGAATTCAGATCTTCTGATTTCAGTTTTGGCAGTCTTCCTTAATACAGAAGGTTGGTGGGAGGGAAGCCCTTTGCAAACATGTATTGATAAGGAATTCATGTGTTGAAGGCAGCTCATGCCTCTAACATGGCAGGGTGCTGATGTCTGCTGGTAATGACATCATGTTGTTCTTTGTTCTTCTTTTCTGGGGTTTATATTTTTGGTCCACAATGGTTGCATTACTTTGTTGATTTCAGAGTCACTGCTGGACATTCACCCTGCTACCAGCTTCTGGGCTTCACCTCTTTATAGCTACCTGCTATCAGGGTGACTCTAGCTGATTAGGATGAAATCACTAGAATGCCTTTCTCTCATAAGGACAGGTTGACATCTCATTAATCAAGACCAAAAAATTGGAGCTACCACTTCTAGTTAAGGGATCTGCTGAACAAAAATTAGGCACATAGGCTAAGATTGATTCTTTTCTTTTAACACCTTGTATCTGGTATTGAATTGTAGTCTATTGTCACAGGTAATTATCTGACTTGGAGTTAGAAAATCCTTTCAATTCCTGTTCAGCCCCTTATGAGGACCATATGTCTGTCACAAACCAATTTCAGGAGACTGACACAAGGCCCTTAAAGGAACTGCATGAAAGCTGTGGTCCAAAGACCACCTTCCTCTCAAGGTTCTCTCTGTCTTGGAAAGTAAATGAAATTGAGTCAGAGCAAAAACAAAGTGAAGGTGGCAAGGTCATTATCCTCCATCCTCCAGGCCCAGATTCCTGCCTTTATTGTGTCTGTCTGTCTATTGATCTTTCATCGAATCTATCTGTATCATATCTATGTAAACATCTATATCTATCATCAAATCTATCTATCATATCTATATAAACACTTAGATCTATCTATCTGTCTTCTGTCTGTCTGTCTATCTAATCTGTCAGGAGTAACATCCCCTCCTTACTCCACTCCTGTTTTAGAGCAGCATTTTGATCAGGGGGAAGAACTTCCCTATCTTCATATGTACTATTTGCTTCTTTGGATTGTTTCAAAGAAACAACCCTGAGAATCTTTTTTGTTTTGTTTTGTTTTGGTTTTGGCTAGGCAATAAGGTCAAGTGACTTGCCCAGGGTCACATAGCTAGTAAGTGTCAAGAGCAACCTTGAGAATCTTAAAGTACTGCATAAATGATGGTTGTGATCATTATACATGCTGCACTTATTTGTCCTTCTAAGTCACTTAGCTATGACTTTGGGCTTTTCTTTTTTATCCTTCTTTCCTACTTCCTTGCGCCACTCCCTTTTCTCTTTCTAAGCCTTCTAGTTTTGTTTCCCTTTCTCCTGCTTTCTGTTCCTCACTCTCATCCTAATTTTGCTCTTCCATTTGAAAAAAGTCCCAACAGACTTCTGCTCATGGCCAAACATCTGTAATTGCCACAACTGTTTTTTTTTAAAGGGACATCCCACAAGTTACCAAGTAGATTTGATTGTTTATTATATTGATTTCCCTGGTGGCAAAGCCAGGCCCTTTCCTGTGGACCATTTATGGTTTACATAATGAGAAATATGATCTGAAAGCATATGGAAGGAGATATACAATTTCAGCAACATTGATAGAATGACCCAAATCAGCTCTTGTAAATGGTAAGAATCCTAGATAGAGGATGCCTCTTAAATTTCTTGGACTGAACTGGATTCCTAGTCTTGGGAGGCAACTTTTCACAGAACTATCAAGCAAGCAAGAATACGGTTTGTTGCCCCCAGAAACCTCTTTCAAATGATACTTTCTCCCAATTTCTATCTCTCCCCATCTTACATAACTTATGCAGTGTCTTTAAACTCTTTCATTATCCTCTTCACACTGAGACCTCCTCTCAGGAAAAAAAAAACTCAATGAAGTCACTCATGCTAATATATAAATGACTGGTAAGGCTTAAATTGTCAACTTTTGCAAGTATATTCATATTTATCCATCCTTCTTCTAGATGACAAAATAACCTTCCAAAGGCACAAGTCTGATCATGTCACTTTCCTGCTCCAAATGCTTTTTTTTTTTTGGTAAGGCAATTGGCATTAAGCGACTTGCCCAGGGTCACACAGCTAGTAAGTGCCAAGTGTCTGAGGTTGAGATTTGAACCCAGGTCCTCCGACTCCAAGGCTGGAGCTCTATCCACTGCACCACCTAGCTGCCCCTCTGCTCCAAATTCTTTGGAATCTCCCTGTTGCCTAAAGGATAAAATACAAATAATCTGTCATGGCACTGATATGTTACCATATGGCTTCAACCTAACTTTCCAGATTTGTTTACACCATCCCCTTTCATGCATTAAATATTCCAATGAAATTGGAATCCCCTATCCTTATGCCCCTATACAAGCCATCATCCATGACTGAAATACATGCCCATCTCTGCCTTTTAGAATCCTTATCTTTCTTCAAGACTCAGATCAGATACCACTTCTTCCATGAAACCTTTCTTTCTCTCTACAATTATTAGTGCTCTTCCTTCTCAACAATTTCTAGAACACTTTGTCAGATCACTTCTTCCCTTGCCAGTCTGTCAGGACTTCATCCTGAGTCATGTATTATTCTTACCTGTGCACATGTCATATCCATCCAGTATAACATAAGCTCTTTGAAGGCAAAGACTACTTAATTTTTTTCTTAGGTGCTAAATAAACACTTGTTGAATTGAATTGATTTGAATGAGGAATAAAAAGTCAACTTTAAAGGGACAAATTTCTATTGGAGTTTCAGATGCTAGAAAGCAGATGAGAGAGATTCTTTAGGGAAGGGAAAGATTTCCTGATGTGTTTTGAATCATATCATACAGGCAGCTGCTTACTCTGCTTGTTACAACCTACCTGGGTAATATATAGGATTGGAGCAGGCTAGAATTTAGGGTTCTCCAGGACATAAAGGACTAGGGATGTTCTAGTACTCTTCCCTATGCTCTGGAATTGCTAGCAAAAGACTAGTTCAAGGGTGGGGAACCTGAGGCCTCGAGGCCACGTATGATTCATTAGGTGTCAAGTGCAACCCTTTTCAGTCAGAGAAGGTTGCATTTGAGGACTAGGGGGTCACATGTGGCCTTGAGGTTGCAGGTTCCCCAACCCTGGACTAGGTGATGGAAACTGTATACTTCTGTAATTTTCCCATGCTCAGCATACCACCTCTCATCTCCATGCAACTATATGGGACATCGCACATGACTGAGATGCCTAAGCAGGCTTCAGATAGCAGGGAGTTGAAATGATAGTATTTGCTGCAATCTATGGACTCTGGTGGGGATTGGAAACTTGAATCAGAGGGTCAGGTACTCACAGTAAGCTGCAATCAATAATTACCAATAAGAGTGCCTGGCACCTGGTAAATTCTTAAGATTAACTGATTGATTGGTTTTTAAAACTCATAATAATTTAGTCCCTTTCTGCCTTTCCAGTCTTATACTTTCTTCTGTTCGGGTACTCTACAATCCAAAGACACAGGACTCCTTGCTGTTTCTTACTCTGTCTCCCAACTCTGAGCAATTTCAGTGATTGTCTCCTACGTTGTCTCTTTCTTCTGGGCTTCCTGGTTTCCTTCAATTCTCTGTTAAAATTCCACCTCGTGCAAGAAGCCTTTCCCTAGGGGCAGCTGGATGGCATGGATTCAGCTCCAGCCTTGGAGTCAGGACCTAAATTCAAATCTGGCTTCAAACACTTGACACTTGCTAGCTGTGTGACTCTGGGCAAGTCACTTAACCCCAATTTCCTCACCAAAAGGCGAGGAAAAAAAGAGTCTTTCCTGGTCCCCTTCAATGCTAGTGCCTTTCCTCTGAGATTATCTCCGACTTATCCTGTATGTATCTTGTTTGGACACAGTTTGTATGTTGTTTCCCGTTAAATTGTTTTTGCCTTTCTTTGTATCCTCAGTGCTTAGCCTGTACCTGGAACATAGTAACTGTTTAATAAATTCATGTTGTCTGTCAGTCAACTTGTCAAAATTTGGAAAAGGGAAAATTTACTCCACTGAGTAGTTTTTTTAAAAAACAAATCAGCTGTTTCATGATGAAAGTCTTAGCTTAAAAGAAAGATGAACTAACCACACTACAATTCCAGCTGAAGCTCTCTTGAGATTTCCAATGTTAACACTGTCATCCTTGTATTCTCTTAACAGCTCTCCTATACCCTGATGGCATTCTTCCCACCACCCATCCAGTAAAACCCCCAGCTGCCTGTGACCTGTGAGAAAAAGCTGAACCAGAAGCAGGTCTAATTGAGTTTCAAAATGGAAAATGTGCAATATAGTTGCAAGGCAAAGAACTTACTCCTTAGTGCTAGGGACCTCTTCCTTTTCCTTAAGGTCAAACAGTACAGTTGTGCAGGCAGGCTTTCTGTCTTCTGGGCGCAGTCAGAAATGTGTCACTCCCTCTCGAGAATTTCTTTCCCCCTTATATCCTCTCAAAGCTTCCTGTTTTTTTTTCTTTTTATGATACCACCCCTTTCTATGAATTTCCCTCATTAAGACTTTAGAGTTGTTTTAAAATTCCCAAGCTAGTAAAGGAATGAGGAGGGTGGAAAAAGCAATGAATTTAGAACCAGAAGAACTGGGCTTGAACCAGAAAGAACTGGGCTCTTCTAATGAAGGCTGGTACCACCTTGGCTGTACAGGGGAAAAAAAAACCATGGAGGACAAAAAAAGAGATTGGGAAGAGCAGAAAATGAGAAAGAACAAAAGTGGGAGAATGTGAAAATGGATAGGAGACAAGGTGAGGACAAGGAGGAAAAGAGAGGGAAGAGAAAGGGGAAGAAGATTGTATACAGATAGGGCTAGCCCTGAGAAAAATTGTAAAGTAAGAAAAGTTCTTTGTTATTCTACTTCTAACAAAAATCTCTTTAATCTCTTCTACTTTTTCTTCAATACTCTCCTCCCTCTCCCAACTTATCCTATATCCTCTCCTTGCTAATTTCTAGTCAAATGATAACTGATAAAGTTATTAGCTGTTAAACACTTATGGTGTGTCTCCTCATGGGGATACCTTCCCTCCTTCCATTTTCTTAGAGGATACAGCGTAAAGTTGCCCTTTGTGATAGTTTTTGGATGCCATGCCCATAATTACTCTATGAAAGATGCAGGCCTACTTTCTTATACTGTAGCTATTTCCATATGTGTATGCCTTATTTTTATAACTACAATGCTGGTTCCTTGAGGGTGGGGATTGTTCCAGATTCATCTTTCTATGCCCCATGAAACCTAAAACAGTGTCTTGTTCTTAATAAGGTACCTGAGTAAATGTTTATTGAAAATTATGATGATGATTCTGATGGACACTGCCCTGTGCTTTTGGCTTACACCTCCTACTTCTCCATCTCAGTTAGCTTTTACACTGGAAAGGAGTCATACTATGGTGTTATTGATTCTGTGTGTAAATCTCTTCTAAGAGTATTTCAGTTTAGTGCATAGTACCAACTCCAAAGAAAGAGTCTCTAGCGATAGAATTTTCATGCATCTTAGATAGGTCAGTAGGAGGTATCTTGGGTAGAAGGAAAGAAAGAATGCTAGATACAGGGGGAGAGAGATACTGGGGGAAATTAAGAATAGGTAGTAAAGGGCAACTAGGCGGCTCCATGGATAGAGTGCTGGGCCTAGAGTCAGGAAGACCTGAGTTCAAATCTGACCTTAGACACTTAAAAGCTCTGTGACCCTGGACAAGTCACTTAACCTCTGCTTGCCTAAGAGGAAAACAGCTAGATGGCTCAATGGATAGTGTGCTGGGCCTGGAGTCAAGAAGATCTGCATTGAAATCTAGTCTCAGATACTAGCTGTGTGACCTTGGGCAAGTCACTTAAACTTTGTTTGCCTTAATCCCCTGGAGAAGGAAATGGCAAACCACTCCAGTATCTTTGCCATAAAAACCGCATGGACATTATGGTCCATGGAGTCATGAAGAGTTGGACATGACTGAACAACAAGTAAAGGGAAAGGTCAGGGAAATTAGAAATAGGCTGCATCTGTGATCATGATAGCCACTTTCTTCACCCTCTCCCCCTCCCCGAACTGTATCTTTTGTTTGCAGTAAACCACACACATATTTCAGGTACTGACTTTGATAGTCAAAGTGAGAAGTGGTCAGAAGTTATCAGTAACTTGCACATCATTAATCTATCTCTTTTGACCTACAGAAATGAACAAACAAAAAAGAACTCCCAAATCTTGATCATGTCCTTACTGGGCATCACTCAACTTTCTTCTGCTATTGTTTGGCACCTGTGTTGCTCACAGATGTAAACAGAGTGGCCTTTATTTTCTGAGACTTAAAACTTTTGCTGGTCCTGAAGCAGTCCTAGATAGCAAGTCAAATTGTGATCAGATAACCAGAGAATAGCAGAGAAATGCTGTTCTAGGTCAGTAATAACAGCCAGAAACTGTGCAGAAGTATGTAAGCTGTCCTGAGTTTATCCATGAAGACTGAAAATGTTACTGGACATCTAGGGTTATGCCGTTAGATCTCTGCTCCAGAAGGGTTTTGGGGTTCCACTAGATAAACATGTTTAGCTCCTTACCCCGAGTGTCTTAGGTAGGGAACTATTTTGAAGATAGATGGAAGGACTCTTGGACATTAAAAAGTTTCATTAAGTATTTTATTTTTCCCCAGTTACATGTAAAAACAATTTTGATTTGTTTCTTAAAACTCTGAGTTCCAAATTCTCTCCCTTCTTCCCTTTCATCCTCCCTCATTGAGAAGGCAAGCAATTTGACATCGGTTATACATCTACAATTCATGCAAAACATATTTTCATGTTAGTTTTGTTTTAAAAGAAAATACAGAACAAAAAAAATAATGAAAGTTTGAAAAAATGCTTCGATCTTCATTGATACCATTAGTATTTTTCTCTGGAGCCAGATACCATTTTTATCATAAGTCCTTAGGAATTGTTTTGATTGCTAACATGTTGCAGCTTTTGTCTTAAGTTTTCTATTCTTTCCAAGTTTTTCATTAAGAGTGCAAATTTCATTCCTCCCTTCTTTCAATTCTTTTACTTGGCTTTTTAATCACTCTTTTGAAGCTCTGAAAGTTAGTCACTTTTCCTTTTTTGCTTTTAAATTGAGTTCAAAGAGCCATAAATCTAGATCTATAAGAGATCTCAAGAGTCATTTAGTCTTATAGACGAGGAAAACAGGGAGGTTAATTGACTTGTTCAAGGTTACTCATGTTAAGTATCTGCGGTGGAATTTATTGAAGCAGTATTCTCTCCAGTTTTCTTCTGGGATTCTTTTGCCCCATTGTATTTCATTGTTTTAGGGGGTGTGCCTTTGCTTGCTCATTTCCTAAAACTCTTTGCTGAATTTTCCTGTCAAGCCTTCCTCATGGGAATTTATTTTGTTTTCCTCTTGTCACTCCTATTGATATTGATGTTTTTCTTTTTTAAATTTGGTTTTTTTCTAGTTGCTTTGAGGCAATGTGGGGGAGGAGTATTATATACAACCTCTTACCCCAACGATCTTGCTATTAGTCCCCTATGTGTCTTTGAGCAAGTCCCTAAATTGTTGTCCAAATATGTCATGGGTAGTCTTAGGAGGTGGTTGGTTACCCATCAAGTGAAAATCAGATGATTGAGTCTCTTCCCTTCTCTCTTTCTCAATATCACCACTAGATTTATACCCCAAAGGGATCAAAGTCAGAAGAAAAGGACCCATATTCATGCAACTATTCATAGAAGCACTTTTTATTATAGCAAAGAACTGGAAACAAAATGATGTCCATTAATTGGGGAATGGCTGAACAAATTAGTCATCACTAGCTCTTCTCCCAAACTGCAGGTTCATTTAGGTGTCAAGTCATTCTACTCCACGACAATGCTTTCATTCCTCCATTTTCTGGCCTTATACTATCACCATGATTATTATCTCTCTTATACTATTGCACCAGCCTCCTACTTGGACTACTGGTTTCCTGTATCTTGTCTCTCCAACCCATCTACCATTGGCAAAAAAAACCCCACAACAACCCAAACAAGAATCTTGCTATGTTGATCTCTTGCTTGAGAACTTTCAGTAGCTTCATATTGTTTCTATGAACAATTTCTTTATTTTTCTTTATCATTGTTCCTTCTAGTACTTTTAGTACTTTACTGCAATGTTTACAATAGGTCTATACTCCTTTTGCCTGTCCCCATAGCTGGTTTATGCTCCCTCCTTAACTCTGCTTATTAGAATTGCTAACTTCCTTCAAGCTTACACACACACATACACACCCCTCTCTCTGTCTCTCTCTCTCTATATCTCTTCATGTGTCACCTCCTATAGAAATCCTTTCTTGAACTTCCTGATTATTAATTGGCATGATTTTGCTTGCAAATTTTATACACATATACATACAGGGAGCTCTTTATATGTTCTATTTCCCCCAGTAGGAGTCCCTGCCTTTTGAGGGCAGAGATTGTTTTTTATTTTGTCTTTGTACGTCCCATGAATAGCCCAATGCCTTGTAAGTAGTAGATGCTTAATAAATTTTTTACCAAGTAAACCACCAGGATTAATTCTTCTTGTTCTTCCCCTCTTCACTCTGCTGTTCTAGGGTCTCTCTGTCCTTCTTTCTGCACTGCCTCCTTTCCTAAATGAGTTTTTTTTCTTGGCTCTTGTCCCAGATGTAAACATTTCTAATTATGGCTCTGCCTCTATGAAGCTTTTCTTGCCCCCAACAAGTGAAAATTATCTATTTCCCCAAAATTTCTCATATTTTCCTCGGATTCATCTATTTTTTTATTTCTTCTTTGTATTACAATAATTTAAAAAAAAACATCTATGCTTAGAGACCAGGTTTGTTTAATGCTTAACTCAGGACCTGAGTTAAGAAACTCAGCTAGATTTGAAGATGAATGTAAGGAGTTTTCTCCCATTATCCATCTCAAGAAACTCACGTATCTTATCTTATCTGGAAACTGCCTCTGTGCTAGCTAATCAGGTATTATTTCTTTGTTCGAATCTTATATAATATCTAATTTACAGACACTTGCGGGGAGTTGGCTGCTGCTTTTTTGGTTCTCCCCACTGCTGGATGACAATAATTTTAAAAAATTATCTCAGTTCTGGTTTTATTCTCTGCCATATAACATATATGTATTAACAACTCTCTCTCTCTCTCTCTCTCTCTCTCTCTCTCTCTCTCTCTCTCTCTCTCTCTCTCCTCTCCCCTCTTTGAAATCTGGGCTTCCACTGTCTCTGTTCATAGGTTCCCAATAATAGATACTTAACATATTTGGTAAAATGGAAGTAAATTGAAATAAACTCCCTAAGACCTGTCTTGATATCATCTATATATGTACATGTATAAATATATAAAATCTTTCCATTACTTTACATGCTAAACAGACTCAAGAAGAAAATGCTTATGTACACACTTAACACTTCCTTA